GCATCCAGGAGATTCTCCTTGAACCAAAATAAAACCAGAAACTTAGCAAACAGGCAGCTGCAGTAGGACAAAATCGAGCTCAAGTATGATCTAATCCTGCTGCAATACAACATGCAATTTCAATATGTACTCTGAAATTATTTATCCAAGAGATGGCATTAGTTAGGCTCCATTGAGCTCCTTGTTGCTAGGCCACCCATAGTTATGCTAAAGTTGGCTTTACTGGCATAGAATTATCTATTTACTGTATCGATATAAATTTGAGTATTGTTGTTTAAATGCTTAGCAAAACTTCACAATAAGGGATCCAGGGGCACTTAACTGATTTAAGTGCCCAACCATCTTTGCAATCCATCCCAAGACATACAGAAGAATCATGTAGTAGAAAACATGCATAAACACTGCCAAATCTGTTCACAACTACTGACAGAACCAGTTAATCTGCATGTTTTTAACAGGGATTCATCTCCTTCTTAATATGTAATATTATATATAATAATATTTACATAAGTATATTATGTTTATGCTGGCACCAAGCCATTATCACTCCATGGTAAAGCTGAGTTCTACTGTCCTAGCTAATTTTAGGCAGAACAACTTGAAGACAAGCCACAAAACAATAAATAGGATAGATGAATATAACCCATTGCAAAAGCATTTTTGTCACCCTGATCTTTGGAACCTCATTGTCAGTTACTATCATAATACAGCTTGGTATGATTATCACAGACTGGCATGATGAGATTGGCATGACCATATAAGTTAATAATTTATTTCCATCCACCTCATTTAAAGAGCAAACTTGAAAGTTAGTAAGTTTGTCCATTTTCAGTGTTCTGAAGCTGGCATGTTGAAGAAAGCCACGAAGCCACGAATACACACCCTTAGCTTTCATGACTTTCATGCAACCAGTAATACTAAACCCCAAGTTTTTCAATGCACCATCTAAGCAACAATTGTGATTTTGAAAACCACACAAGGAAGAGGCAGACAGAAGAAGGAAAAAGGCTGTGGAATATTCCAACATTAAAAAAAAAAATTATAAAAACAATTTTACTTATAATTTTAGAAGGAAACCCATCTTTTATAGGAACTCAAAAGAACTCTGAATAAAGTGTGTATCGTATGATTCTAGAACATGTAAGAAAACTGAAGTCAGATTTTAGTGCGTTAATAGTCCTAAGTAACTCATGTAAATTGTGCGAGATTAAAAAGACGGCTGCTTGTTCTAGCACTCACATTCCATCAGACCTCAGAGAAGAACAGTTCTTTATGCTGTCAGTGCTACACCAACATAGAGACACCATGAAACTCTTAAATATTGACCACCTGTGGAGATTCTTACTTAACTGACAGATCTGTGGGGCTGATCTGAACAGTATCCTAAGGATTCATGCCCAGTGAAAAGAAATGTTAAGGAAGGGAAAAATGGGACAGAAATGGAGCAACAAGCTCTGATGTGAAATTCAGGACCCAGCTACTCACTGCTCCCATGATGAAAAGGTTTGGAGTTGGCTGGTTAGCCTCCCTTCTGAGGGAGACCAAAGAATCACAAGGGGGGAAAGGCAAGTTGTGAGATAACTGACTGGAAAAGCACATCTGAGAGATCTTCCTGTTAGTTAAGGACTCGCTCCAGAAGACCCCTTTTTTAAGGTTCAGAAAAACTGCTGAAGTAAGTTTGATGTAGAAATTCATACTTAACCTGCAGAATGTCACTACTCTGAGGTTTTTTTTCAGAGGATAGACTGCATTCAAATGAGCAAAGTAATCGGTAACATTAGTTTTGTTTAAATATATAAACACTACTTCAGATACCTTAGCATTTCTTAAATAAAATTAATCAGCAGGTTCTTGGAGGGAACGCAGAACCCACCTAAAAAGTAGAAAAGCTTTCTTGAAATGCTCAAAATAAAAGGTCATTCCTATTTGTTAGATTTCATATATGCCTGAAATAATGTGAATAATTCACATTATTTCAGGCCTCAATTTTCTACTGGATACAACAGAAGTGGTTTGTCAGAAAGAACCGCTCTGCAGGAGACTGTAAAGAGTTAATAATTTTGTTACACAACAATAAATTGGATGAACTATAACCAGACACCAGGTATTTTTTTTTATGTATATATACTAAATAAATAATATAGATTGATAATGATAACTACAAAGGTCAAGATACACTCCAACACAATAAAAAGAGATAATCTGACTCTAACAGAAACTCATTTTGCCCATTTTCTGAGCTGGCTGAAGGGTAAGATGGGCATCCATGATTAGCACAGCACTGGGCATGGGCTATGACACTTTCTGAGGCACTGAGTTTGGATTCAGCACCATACTAACACAACTACTCATCTTCCATTTTATAGTTGGCTGATTTTTACCGAGTTCCAATTACAGGGGCTAGCATGTATATATTTCCCTAAGTCAAATGTCTTGCCTGTACCTGACAATGCTCCAGTTCAAAGTGAGATGCAGTATTTCAATTTTGTCCTTCACAAAAGATGTTAATTCTGGAATTCTAATGTTTATATAGAGGCAGGATTTTTTTCTACCAAAATTATGCCTACTTCTTTGCAAATTTTATTTTAGAACTTTTATGCAAGTCAAGGTGATAAAAAACTGCATGAAAATGTGGGAAGAAACTGCATGTAAAAACTACATAATGAGACCTAAATGGTGGTGTTAAATAGATATTGTGAGGTACTTCCCTCACCACCATTAAGAGTAAACAGCCTGAATGCTTTCCATCTGGCAGGCTTCTTTACCCTGCAAGACAGGAATATAAGAGGTAGGAAGAGGAAAGAACAGGTAGCTAGCACAGGAAGAGTGGCAGGCTCTGCTTCTTCCTAGCCTTAGAGAAAGAAAGGAAGGCATTTCTAAGATGGAAGACCATGGTTTTGAGGAAGGCGAATGACAGCAGCTGGAACAGTAGAAGACAAGAGGACAAGCTGCAGCCTGAAGAGGACATGTGTCCACAACCCCAATCCTTGTCATCTGCAGGTGAACCTTCCCACACAGAACAGGGACATGGCTGTGGGTTCCTGCTCTCTCCCAGCTGTTGCTGCGCTGGCTCACCAGGTTAGTGCTCCAACATGTTCAGCGTTGGAGTACCATGCTGGGGGTACTGCACGCTCACAGCAACCATTCATTTGGCAAATGAGATTCTTCATATTCCCCTCTCTTCCCCACACAGTTTAGGCAAAACCCCCAGCTTTGAAACATCTGCTGTGTAAGAGGAGGTGGCTCACTTCAAATGACATGAATTAGGAAACACTCATAAAAGGAGCTCTGTTGGCAGATCTGAGATAACCTCTGCAAATTACTGCTGGAAGAGTCTTCTTGAACTGGAATAGCTATAGTTGGAAGATGAGGTGTCCACAACTACAACAGACTAGCTTGCACTAAATCCCATCTTTCAAAAGACCAAAGGGTCCAGAAAAGTTAATTTTAACTATAATGCATGGTCAGCTTCTAGCACCCTGTTTCGGCTGCAAGTATGGCACCTTTCCCTACATCACTTGCAACAATATGAACCTACACTCTTTTTTCTTTTCTCTTCATCAAGTGAGAAATAGTTGTTGAGCTATTTTTCCTCTCCAGTCTGTTAGCCAGATTACTATTGATTTCAAAATGAAGCTGACTGGAGTGAAAAGCCACACTATTCTGGTATCGCTAGCAAAGTTCTAAATTTATAGTTACACTTCAGTAAAACCTCTTGTTCCAGGCTGCAATCCATAGATGTACAATTATGATAACATGAGACACTGTTAAAATTTGGTAAGTAAAGCACAACCCATCACGTGTGCTAAGCAAAATCCAATTTGGCGTTCAGGATTTACATTTACATTTTGAAGCTAACAGACAGCAAAGCTGATGCCATCCATGCGAACAGAATAATTATAACCCTAAACTTGGTAGACACAAAAGCAGGGTCAATAGTTTTGCTCAGTTTCAAGTAGCACCAATTAGAAGGGAAGGGGAGTGAGGGAAGAAGCAGCTAAGTCAGGGAAGACTCATGTTCTGCATTATCCTTGAACAGACAAAATCTGGGACCTATGGAAATCAACCACAGCAGGTAAATTCACTCAGCTGCACATCTTTTTCTGTTGTAGGAATGGGTTAGATGCACATAGCATTCACTGAATGTGTTATAATGAAGAAAATTTGTAAAAAGTGCTCAGAATTTCAACTATATATTAAAGAGTGAGCACATGAATACAGAATATCATCCCAATTTTCATAGCTCAGCACTAGACAAGAAGCAAGTAGATAGTTTTCTGAAACAACCTGCAGACATTCAGGAAATCCTTTGCCCCATGCTGATTATGTTGAGCAGAACAGATCTCTACCAAATTATAACAGACAAAGTAGAGATTTGTGTTTGGCTTGTTGGGTAAATATATTTCCTCCAGTTGCATGAAGACTCTCCCACTAGCACGAAGATACAACAGAGAGAGAAAATCTCTGGACATTTTCTTAGTCTAATTACTGCTTTCACTAGATAGCTGATTTTTTACAACTCAAGCCCCATGCTGATTATGTTGAGCAGAACAGATCTCTACCAAATTATAACAGACAAAGTAGAGATTTGTGTTTGGCTTGTTGGGTAAATATATTTCCTCCAGTTGCATGAAGACTCTCCCACTAGCACGAAGATACAACAGAGAGAGAAAATCTCTGGACATTTTCTTAGTCTAATTACTGCTTTCACTAGATAGCTGATTTTTACTGCAACTCAAATATGGTGAATAAAATGAACGGATTAGCTATTCTTTAAGACGAGCAATAAAGATACTGTCATGATTTGGGGGCAATAAGGGAGAGATTCAGCAAGCAGTGTGGTCACAATTGGAAATTTGATTAAACAACAGTAAAGTTCTCCTTGAAAAGATCAGTGCATCAGTTGAGCTTTAGTCAGCCACATCATCCTGTAAATTGCTTTCAAGATAAGCCACTACATAAATTCTCTTTGCAAAGATCTGTTACTTCAGAACAGTCCTCCTACAGACAGAAACATGGCATTTAATGGTACTTGGAAAGCAGACAGAAATGAAAACTATGAAAAGTTCATGGAGGCGATGGGTAAGTCTTACTTTTCCAATGCCTTCTACAAGAATAATACCACTATGGCTGAATACAAGCTCGAGCTGTCTGTGAACTACCTTCTGGCTAGCCTGTCCTTTTGCTGTTTGCTGCTCTGCCCTTGCATAGTGTACTGTGTTTATTTTCAAAAGATTCCATGACAGGGTGGGGGGAAGATACTGAGAAATGTTCTGATTTTAATTGCATTATGTTAATCTCAAGCAACTTAACTAACTCCGGCAGATTTATTTCAGCAGAGGAAAGAATCTCTAAGTCTACATTTGAGGAAAAGGCTCAGAGAATTTGAATGATAATCTTTAAGCAGAATTCTGTAGGAGGAATATTATTTTGATAACATGAAACTAGTTTAAAAATTACACAGGGAGGAAATAATCATTCTTCAATTTTATAGAAACACATGATTCAAGTCATTTTAACACCCTGATACTTACTTTAAATTTGTACAAACTGTGCATTGTATGGATATGAACATAACCATTCCAGCCAGATAGTGGTTTGTATTATATCTGTACTGGTGAATATGGCCTCAATAAAAAGTGAAGAAGAATAAAAATTCGGGTCAGAATGCTGGAATAAACTCACTTGACCACATGAAAGTCACTAAAAAGAGACAAATTTGATGCTGTAGTGGTTTTTTTTCTGATTGATGTTAATTGATTTTTCTAGGTGTTAACGTGATGAAAAGAAAGTTAGGAGCCCATGATAATCTGAAGATCACCATTCAACAAGATGGAAACAAATTTACTGTCAAAGAATCAAGCAATTTCCGTACCATAGATATTGAATTCACTCTGGGAGTCAATTTTGAGTACAGTCTGGCTGATGGGACTGAACTTAGTGTAAGAGACTTTCTATATAATTATATATTTATTATATGATAATAACTTTGTGAAGTACAGTTTCAAGATGAATGATTTGTCTTCCTAGTTTTTAATTGAAATTTTAATTTTAAAGTGTGACTGTTCAGGAATGCTTGCAGCTTATATACAAAAACACAAGGTAGTCTTAACTGTTAATGGTTCAACACTGTACCGTGAAACTCAGGGTTCCATAGAGTGCCCAAAAAGCAGAGTATGTAGCAATTTTCACACGATGAAATCCAGGTGATTGCAATTTTACTTCTTATAATACTCAAGTACACCACCTAGTGCAGAGTGGGGGTATTTATAAGAAATTACTTTTTTTCTGTTGATACAATTAATTAAAATAAGGTGTACTGAGCACTAAAAAAATCTACCTTGACTATTATGCAATTAAATAAACTAGTGGTTTTATTAAAATTTCATTTTTACAGCCTTTCCATCAATGTCCAAAAAAGCATTATTACACTGTTTTAATCTCTTCTCACTTTTAAGCATTCCTGCAGTCTTTAAATCAAATCAGTGTCATATCAATTGCAAAATATTTGGGTCTTTTTTCCCATTATAGGGTTCTTGGAACATGGAAGGAAATAAACTTGTAGGATCATTTACTAGAAAAGATAATGGAAAAGCACTCGCAGCATACAGAGAAATCGTAGGTGATGAACTTGTTCAGGTGAGTTAAGCAGTCACTTACATACAACTTTACAATATAACGAACTGAAAAAATTTTAAAAGCTGTTCTGAAAGTAGGAAATATTTTCTTCAAGCCAAATAACCTCATTTATCTTTAGTTAAAATTCTCAAGTAATGTATCAAAATTTAAAACTTTAAAATAAAACTCACAATCTGTGATTTTTATGTTTTTCTACCCATGTGAACTGTATCTTACCAATGCTTTCTGAAGCCTGTGAATACAAGCTGTATACAGAAGAGAGATATATGTAGATAGATATATACACTATATAGATGTGTTCTGACTGAAGGCCCTTTTCCAAGTGTCTGCCCTGTAAAAGCCGTACCACAGGAGCTTACTACAGGGTAATGCTGTCAATGGCTGATAAATGCCCTTTTAAAACAACGTTTGGGGTTGGGGCAGGGGATGATGGCACAGAGGAGTAAGTTTGAGACAAAAGGGAAACGTTTCACAGCTCCGCAGTAAAGCCAGAAACTGAACTGTAATGCTTTAAGATCCTCTCCGCTAGCAGGTCACAAGCTTCTTAAAAGAATAAATTAAAAGAACCAACCTTATGGACAGGCGTGAGATCCGAGATATCAAAAACATACAGTCCAACCCTTCAGTGCTTCTTCACACTTCTAATAAAAGCAGTCACATAGATGAAACTTGTTACGTAGTGGTATTGGGAATACGGCACTTCAACACTTTGGGTTTTTTCTGAAGCCCCCAAAAGCTGTCCCGTGGTGGTCCAAATGTTTGCATAGAGTATTTATTCCTATTGACAACAGGCTGTTTTCCTTATGTTCCTTTCCTCAGAGCCTGCACAAGGGCTGGTAGGCCACACACGGCCACCAGTCACAATTAATTAAATCCCTATTGACTATCTCTCAATAGCATCTGTGAAGTGAAACTTTGTAATAGCAGCCACTGATTTTTCTTCTTAATTTCCTTAACAGACCTACGTATATGAAGGAGTTGAAGCCAAGAGATTCTTCAAAAGGGGCTAAGTACTTCACCCAGAACAGCACCAGAATCAAAAAAAAAAGAAAAAAAAGACCATTTTTCTACACATCCTCTGCTTTTTTTTTCTTTTATCCCCTCACAGCACCTCCTAAGCTGCAATTACTTAGCCCTGTTGAAAACACCGGCTAGTTCCTTATGTTTACTGTTTTGCCTTGAATAAACAAAATCCAATTACAATTTGATACAAATGCTAAACTGTTATTTGTACCAAGTCCTACCTGAGTGCCATACTGTAAAAGGCTGCAGAAACTATTTTCTATTGACTTAAATAATTTTTTGCACTTGTTCTCAAATGGCAACTTAGTTTCTTTACCATAATATTTATATTGATAAACAGTTTCTCTGTATTGAATATTGTGTAATTAGGATGGCAAACCCTAAAAGAACCCTGACAACACCCAAGTCTCTAAGACTATTCTGTGCAAATATAAATACGGAATAAACATAAAATATGGTCACGTGGAGGACTTAAATGATACCCCATTGATACCTTGCTCATATCAATAGGAATAATATAAAGCACATACGGATGATACACAGGTATCTCACATAAAGTAATTTCATTGTGTTTGTTTCTAAAAGGATGACCGTGCTTTTAAACATGCAGATTTTGAGTTGTTCCAATTTATTAGGGGTTCAAATCATTCTGCATCAGGAAGAGTATTAGCAGGCTCTGGGTGAGTTTCTTTCAGGACATGAATAAAAATACTGAAACAAGATAAAGGATGATTTCAGACTACGTTGACTTCAAACACTGGTGTTTCTGATGGGTGACAAATATGCACCATGTTCTGCTCATGTTGTCCAGCCTGTAAGTGCTATTTTCAACCCAGCCTCACCTCCCTTGAGTTGCGCTATTTCCTAAGGGTTGCAGTAAAACTGCCTCTCAAGGGTCAGCACCAGTTAAGATCTGCTGTGTCCCTCTAACTATGCCTCTTGGTGGTCATCTAGTCCTGTCCCCACGTCTACAGGGCAGCCTGCTTCCCAGTCCTGGACCCTTTCTGACACATCAGCAGAACAAACCTGCGTGCTGCCGGCACTCTTGTCCTTCAGCAAATATGCCCCGAGCTCTTTTTTTGGCTTCTGAGCTTCTTGCACCCAAGCTTCTACTGCCATAGTTAGAAAAAGACTGATTCACGTAAGGCTTTGCTAAAAGGTCACAATACCATGTGGGCCTGAGGTCGGGCCTGAGATCTAACCCAAAATATGAATGCAGCCATATCTGTAAAGTCTCACAGCACTTCATCACAGAATTCCCTCATGATGGTAAACAGCTAGATAATATTCTGCCGTGTGGTTATTCACATGCTGTTACGGGTCCCATTTCAAATATCATTTCTGAATGGGTACATTTATATGATGATTTTAATGGGTTTGAAAAATACCTTGCAAAATTTACTCCCCTGTTTTCTTGGCTTTCCTTGACTGTCTTTTTGCTGGCCATAAACGAATACAAAAGAAAAACATTTTTTCCTTCAGTTATTTTTATAACTGAATCCTCTCTTAGCCTATATTTTTGTGGTCTTCAGCGTCTCATAGCTCCCTCTACTGCCAAAATGCTCTCATGACACAAACAGTATTCGAGTTAGGGGTAGGACAGATCACCCTTCTTTATGAATTTGGATTTCCTCCCCCAGATATTGATTGTATGCAACTTCCAGTGCAGATATTTTTTACATAATCACCTTTCAGTGGGTAGATATACCACATATATCGCAATGAAGAGAATACTATTTTAAACGGTCCTTCAATTTTCAATTACAAAGAGATGTAAAACTGAAAAGCAAAGGTATGAAAAACTAAAAAAAAAACCACCAAAACCAACACCCTAAAATCTGGAAACAACACTATTACAAAATTCTGTCTACCTCTAGGCTAGTTTGTTTAGATACTAAAGCCTTTAAAAGAGAGAGGAGTAAAGAATAATGGCTTGCAATAAGCTATGTGACAGATTCTTTCAGTTAAGCTATGCGCACTGAAAAAGCAGACTAAACTATAAGACAGAAGCCCTGACCGTCGAAGTGCTGTTATAGAGTTTGACCTTCGCTATCAGCTGCATGTCATTATTGCTTCTAAATTGCATAGAAGTATATTAATGATTACATGTCAAAGGTTTCAGGAAATTGGAGAATGCCATATTATTTCTTTCAGAGACTTTACTGGCTGGAATGAAAGCTGTATTTTCTGAATGTGTTCTCTCTTTCTTCCCTGAGTATGCTGACCCTTGAAGTCTTGCACCCTTCTGGTTCAGAAAGTCAAACTCTAGCCCACACCTGGTGTCAATGCACTTACCTCTGCCACACCCAGCCCAGTATTCATGGTTATTTTGATCTAGGTTACCAGATTTGTTTGATTGATTGGCTACAATAATCAGTAGGGTATTTTTTTCATCAAGTATTTAAGAAATTAGTTAATTCTGGATTACATACAAGGCCACAAAGTGAAAAGTAATCTGATAATTATTTATTTAAAAAAAAAAAAGAGCTCAAAAGTATTTAACAACTCCAAATACTGCAGACAGATGTGGTCAGCAGCTATACTTAAAAAATAAGGAAAATCTTTAAAGACTCAGTCTCCAATACTTGAGGTAAGATCATCAATTAAAGGGATGGAGGAGTGGTACAGCTTCGGTAAACTAACAAATAAGATCTTTGTATTAGAACGTGAATGAAATAGCCTAGTAAATTTGACTAGGAGACTTCTGTTTGCTAGGCAGGAATTTCAGAATTACATTACTTTGCAACCTAATGGGAAATCATTTGCTTTGGGGAAACCTACAATCCACAGTTCCTTTTGCTCAAATGAGGTAATACAGATGGGTACAAGACTTAAAGGGGAAGTACTGTCATTGTTTCCCCCCAAAATCTCTAATATACTTCACCTAACACACATATGCTTAACCGATACTTGCTGTATAAAGACAAATTCAAGTTCATCCTTATTTCCAATGATAGAAATTATTAAGGAAAATAGCTACCCCTAAGTGCATGCTTATGAGACGTTAAACTCTGATCAGATAGACCTCTGCATTCTGCAGCAGGTATCACCTTTTCTCTTAATATGAGGCTAAAAAATGTCAATAGCTACAATGAGGAAGTTTTTTTTTAGTGTACTCCTAAGTTTCTGGTCACTCTTCTAGACACAATGAAAATAATTGCACTCCTTTCAGTACTGAGTGAACTGGCTGGACTGAGGGTAGTACATCCCAACTATGATATGGCATCAGGTTGTGCAGCTTAAATTTCTGACGCAGCTGTGTGTTGTGTAAATAAAGCACACAGTATACACGATCTACGTGAACTTTTCCATGTTTGTTTAAGGTGTACAAGCTCCAGCTAACCTTCAAGGATAGGAGTGTACCTTAAAACAATTTCAATTTTCCTAAACTTCTTCACAACAGGATTTCCCAAAAGGTCTTTTAGTTTCTTCCAGGGCACCATCTGCTCTCCAAGAAACCATGTCAGGAAGAACTTGTGAACGTTTCTTTCCACACAAGTCCCAGTACAGCTTAACAGAACTAGGCCAACACGGTTTGACAGGACTGACCACCTGCTTTTCCCCGCACCCTTGTCTCACCTGGCCAAGCACCCTGAGGACTGGCAGGGAGGAGCAACCAGTAGTGCCCAGGTACTACCGCAGAAGTGTCAGTCACCAGCTCAGAGAAAGCCTCCGCAAGCACCACTTCTCCCAACACCGGCGGCAGAAGCAGGAGCTCCCTCCACGTCCAACATCTTTACCACACGAGCCCGGCCTGGCATCGCCATTAGCCCCTCAGCCGTGAGTGGGGAAGGGGCCACTGAGGCAGCAGCCTGCCAGGAGAGCAGCGAGGCACCGCCGCCGTGCTTGGAGCAGGCGGCAAAAC